CGCTCGACGCGGTGGAGATCATGAACATGGCGTGGAACGTCAAGCGCGAGCACCTACGCCTGCCGCACCGTTCGCACTACGTGATCACGAACGGGGGCGACCAGCCGAACGTGGTGCCCCAACTCGCGTCGGTCTGGTACTACTTCCGCGAACTCGAGCAGCCCGGGATGAAGGAGCTCTTCGATCTCGGCAACACGATGGCGCAGTCCGCGGCCGCGATGACCTCGACCGACGTGTCTTGGCGCATTCTGGGGCACGCCTACCCGCGCCACTTCAACAAGCCGGTCGCTGAAGCGGTCTGGGCGAACATCGAGCGGGTGGGGCTTCCGGAGTGGAGCGAGGCGGACCAGGCGCTGGCCAACGGACTCCAGCGCGAACTCGGGGTCGAGGAACAGGGCCTCGCAACCGAACTGGGGGAGATGGGCGGCCCGGTCCAGGAACCGCGTCTGGGAGGCGGTTCCGACGACATCGGCGACATTTCCTGGGCCGTGCCCACCGTGACCATGCGCTTCCCATCGAACATTCCGGGCGGCCCGGGGCACCACTGGGCGAACGCGGTGGCGATGGCGACTCCGATCGCGCACAAGGGAGCGTCCGCCGGGGCGCGGGTGATCGCCATGACCCTCATGGATCTCCTGCTTGATCCCGAACTCGTCCCGGCGGCGAATGAGTACTTCGCCGAGCAGACGGCCGAGCACCAGTACACCCCGCTGATCGGTCCCGACGATCCTCCCGGGATTCACCTGAACGAGGACCGGATGAACTCGTTCAGGGAAGCGATGCGGCCCCTTTACTACGACCCCGAGAACTACGACAGCTATCTCGAGCAGTTGGGCATCGAGTACCCCACGGTCCGTCCGGAGGCGGAAGAGCCGCAGAACTGACGGCCGAGCCCGTGCGCCCGAGGTGCGACTCGGGCGCTCCAGTGCCGGATCCGAGGTGGTGAGAGGGTCAGCCGTCAGCGAGGGGCGTGACCAGGCGGGCAACCAGCGGTACAAGCACGCCTCCAAGCAGAGAGAGGAGGGTGACTCCCCCGATCACCCCCACTCCTCGGGTTCACGAGCGGCCGGGTCACAATGCGGAGAGCGCGGCAAGACTCCCCGCCACCATCTATTGACGCAATTCCCGGCGATTTCTTCTCACTGTGAAAGTCCGAGGGGTGTCACGGTTGTCGCTGCGCCGCGTGCTGCGACGCCGGTCCCCACCGGGAGAAACTATGATCGGGTCCTCCGGGACACCCCGCGGGTCATGAAAGGCGTTTTCATCGACGTTGGTTTCGCGCTCCCGCGCGATGCCGGCCCCCACCGGGAGAACTGGCCGGAGGTCGGCGTTCCCGTGCCTGCGGGCCATTCCTCCCGGGGGGGTACGTGCCGAGACGGGAGCCACGCCGGTGTTTGGCGTCTTGCCCTTTCGCTGCCCGGTGGGCAGCGGTGCCGGTCTGAAGGCCCCCACCGGGAGGACTGGCCGGCGTTCCCGCACGGCGTGAACGGGGGGCCCGCCCCCCTTTCACAAGGGGGATCATGTATCTGACGCAGCAGGCTCGGCGGTTCTCCGGTCTGCCGGCGTCTCGCCGGGGAACCCGGCGACATCGAAGAGCTTGATCTTCGTTTCGGCGAACCTTCCGAAGGAGGAAGAACCATGACCAGACTCACCCCGCTGCTCATTCTTGCAGCCTCTCTCTCTCTCAGTAGCGGCTGCTCGAAGCCGCCAACGTTCCCGCCTGAAATGACCTGCGAAGCCTTGGAGGCCGAACAGGAGGACGCGGACCGGAAGGTGCGCACGCTCGAAGCCGATACCTCGGACATGGACGCACGCGACCTCATGGGTGATGTTCACGCTCGCTCCAATCAGGGGGACGACGAGTGGCGTCACGCCAAGCGGCTCCGAGAGGCTCAAGAGCACCTTGAAGCCGTGAAGGCTGCAATCGCCGACCGCTGCACAACGAACTGAAGAGTCCAATGAAGACATCAGCTTCCCGTTCTGGGTCGGCTTGCTTCGTCAGATACACAATCGCCTTCATACAAGAGACAACGCGCAATGGGACACCCCTCGCCTGCGCCTTTCGATCGCGCCTCTGGTTCCGACACGGCACGACCTGGGATTTGGCGGCGAGTTTCGATTCGAGGCACGAAGTGCCTGTCGGCGTGGGGGTGGGGCGCCCGCCTGACCGATGATTGTGTTTCTGCCTCTGACCACGCCGGTGCGCGCGCGACGACCTGGAAGCCCCCTTTTGGCCACTTGACAACAGGTAGAAGGTCCGGCGCTCTGCTGTCACGCGCCATCCTGCCCTTGGGGGATACGCGCCGAGAAGGGAGTCATTCCGACGGTTGGGGTTCGTGCCGTCGCGGCCCTGCGGGCCGCTGTGCCGACCGGAGGTCGGCGTTCCCGTGCCTGCGCGCCGCTCTTCCCACGGGGGCCATTCTGGTGCTTGGCGTCTTTCCCTTTGGCCAGGACTGGAAGAACAATGGCAGCGAACTTTGTTCGCTGCCCGCGTGACCGGGGGGAAAGTGTGAAAGGGGGGCTGGCCCCCCTTTCACAAGAAAGACAGCGCGAATGGGAACTCGCCTGCGATCTTAGATCGCGCTTATGGTTCCGACCGGTACCAGATGTATGCGGCGAGTTCCCATTCGGAGGCACGAAGTGCCGTTCGGCGTCGGGGTGGGGCGCCAGCCTGACCAGTGATTGTGCTTCTGTCTCTGACCGCGCAGTTGCGCCCCACCCCGACGCCGACCAGCGCGCGGTGCCGAAGCAGGGATTTGAACCCTGACACTCGCAAGGAGTACTGCGCCCTGAACGCAGCGCGTCTGCCGTTCCGCCACTTCGGCCCGCGGAGCGCGCGAGTCTAGCAGCCTGGTGGCCAGATCGAGTCACGGCGCGAGGCGGCGCCGGAGGGACGAGCGCGATCCGTCCCGTATGGTTCGGGGGCGCTTTCAAGGACGATCTCAGGGCGACGGCTGGGTGGTGCCCGAGGGCCGTGAATCGCTGGAAGACATCCACGTCACCGGCAGCCGGGTCGGTGGGGCGCTGCCGGGGGATCTGGTCGAGGTCGAGGTTTCTTTTCGGACCCGGCGCGGCCGGCTTGAGGGTGCGGTCGTGCGGGTACTCACCCGAAAGGCCGCCCGGGTTGTCGGGCTGTTCACCGCGGAGCGGACCGTCGCGGTGTGGGACCGGCAGTGGGCGCGCGAGATTCTGGTGCCTTCCGGCGGCGCGCGCCCCGGGGACCTGGTGGAGGTCCGGATTCGCCGCTTCCCGGCACCCGGGCAGCCGGTGGTCGGAGAGGTAACCGCGGTGTTCGGCGCCGCCGACGACCCGGGGGCGGAGCTCCTCGCGGTGCTCGCGCGGCACGGTATCCGGGACGAGTTTCCCCCGGCGGCCCTCGCCCAGGCGGCGGCCGCTCCGGGTGCGGTCTCCGCAAGCGAACTCGGCGGGCGCCAGGACCTCCGCGGCCGCCTGATCCTGACGATGGATCCGGAAGACGCGCGCGACCACGACGACGCGATCGAGGCGACCGAGCTACCCGACGGCGGCTTCGAGATCGGTGTCCACATCGCCGACGTCAGCCACTACGTTCCGCCCGGCAGTCCGGTGGACGAGGAGGCGGTGCGGCGGGGGACCTCCGCGTACTTCCCCGAGCGTGCCATCCCGATGCTGCCCGAAGCGCTCTCCTCGGGCATCTGCTCGCTGTTTCCCGAGGTTGACCGGCTGGTGCAGTCGGCGAACCTGCGGATCGACTCGGATGGGCGGCTTCGTGAGGCGTGTTTTTCCCGAAGCGTGATCCGGAGCGTTGCCCGGCTGTCCTACGAGGACGGCGCGCGCCTGCTCGCGGGGGACGGGGACGATGCCGGTCCGATCGGAACGGCCGTTCGGACGATGGGCCGCGCCGCCGCTTTGTTGGGAAGAGCGCGCCTCCAGCGCGGTGCGATGGATCTCGACCTGCCCGAACCGGTGGTCACCTCCGACGCGGCGGGCAACCTGGTGGACGCCCGCTACGCCGAGCGAAACGACGCACACCGCCTGGTAGAGGACTTCATGCTCCTGGCCAACCAGGCGGTAGCCGAGCATCTCCGAACCACCAAAACGGCAGCGCTCCACCGGGTCCACGGATCTCCCGACGAAACCCGGATCGACGCCTTCGAGGATCTCCTGACCGGCTTTGGAGAACGATTGCGGGTTCCGTCAGAGCCGCTCCGGCCCGTGCACTGCGCCCGGCTGCTGGCGCGCATCAAAGACCGCCCGGAAGCGCCCTTCCTCCGCCGGAGGCTTCTCCGGGCCCTGAAGAAGGCGGAGTACTCGCCCCGCGGCGAGGGGCACTTTGCGCTGGCGCTGCCCGATTACACCCATTTCACTTCACCCATCCGGCGGTACCCGGACCTCATCGCCCACCGGGCGCTGGCCGCCGGGACGGATCTTGCCGGGCATCTGCACCCCCAGGCGCTGCCGGCGCTGGCGGCCACCTGTTCCGGGGCCGAGCGAAGCGCCGAGGCCGCCGAGAGGGACCTGGTGGAACGCCGGATCGCCCGCCTCCTCGCGGGGCGGCTCGGGGACACCTTCGCCGCCCGCGTTTCCGAGACCGGCCGTTTCGGTCTCGCGATCGAACTCGAGGGCATTCCCGCCCGCGGTACCGTCCCGATGGAGTTGCTACCGGGCGGGCGGTTCCGCTTCCACCGGCAGGACTATTCGCTCCGGTGTCCGGCGACCGGCCGGAGTTTCCGGATCGGCGATTCTCTCGAAGCCCAACTGGTCCGGGTGGATACGCTTCTTGGCGATCTGGAATTCGGGCTCGGCGCCGAGCCCGCCCGCAGCACAACGGCTAGGCCAGAAGGTGGCCGGGGTCGTCGTCCTCGGCGCTTACCTCGCGAGGCGAAGCGTTCGGGCCGCCGACCGGCACGGCGACGGTGAACCGCGAGCCGCGGTCCGGCGCACTTTCGACCTCGATGCGCCCACCCAGGAGTTCCGCGGTGTGCTTGGCAATCGCGAGGCCGAGTCCCGTGCCGCCCACTTCACGCGAGCGAGCCGGGTCCACCCGGTAGAAGCGTTCGAAGATCCGGCTTTGGTGAGCCTTGGAGATTCCCACGCCGTTATCAATGACCGAGATCAGGGCTTCGCCGTTTGAACACTCGGTCGCGACCTCGACCCGCCCGTCCTCCCCGGAGTACTGGATGGCGTTGTCCACCAGGTTTTGCAGGATCTCCGTGAGCAGGGTTGGGTCGGTCTCGACCTGCACGGGCTCTCGGGGTTCCGCGGTCGTCAGCTTCCGCTCCCCCGCCTTCATTCGCGCCGATTCCACGACCGATGCGACCAACGCCTCCACTTGTACGGGAACCGTTTCCGTCTCCTGTTTGCCTGCTTCGATCCGGGCGAGCCGCAGCAGGTCGTCGGTGAGGTGTGACAGTCGAATGGAATGCTGCCGGATGATTCCGAGGAAACGCTTCTGCTCCGGCGGAGCGTCCAGGTCGGCGTCCAGCAGGGTTTCCGAGAAACCGCGGATCGCCGTCAGGGGCGTCCTCATCTCGTGCGACAGATTGGCGACGAAATCGCGGCGTACCCGCTCCAGCGCGTGGAGTTGGGTCACGTCCATGAGCACGAGGACGGCTCCCGCCGGCTCGGATTCCGGAGATCCGTTCCCCTCAAGGCGGGAAGCCATGGGTACTTCCGGCTCGTAGGAACGGATCGGGGCCGCGCGGACCAGAACCTCCCTCCCTTTCAGAGAGATCTCGCGTTCGCGAGCCTTGCCCCTCAGCGCGGCTCGGACCATCTTCAGGAGGCGTTTTTGTTCGAGAACGTTCCGGGCATCGCGCCCCCGATAGTCCCGCCAGGACTCACCGGGAAGGGAAAGCACCTCGCGAAAGGCCCCGTTCACGTACTGGATCCGGAGTTCCTCGTCGAAAACCGCGACGCCTTCGGCCACGCTTGACAGGATGGTGGCGCCCTGGTTTTTCTCGGCGGTCAGAGACTGGAAGCTACGTTGCAGCTCCTGCGCCGTCCGGTTCAGGGAGGCCAGCAACTGGTCGAGCTCGTCCATCTTGAGAGGCGCGTCCTCCGGGGTGAAATCACCCCGGGCCACCCGTTCCGAGAACCGACAGAGCCGCGCCACGCGCTCTCCGAAGCGGGCCGAATACCAGAAGGAAAGACCAGCAGCCACAAAGAAGGCCAGGAGCGTCACCACGACCACCGGAGTCAGGATCGCGCTCACGGTTTCTTCGAGCTGGATGGCCGGCTCCGAAAGGCGCAACACGGTGTCTTCGCTCCACGGGAGCTGGACTGCCACGTAGCTGAGTTCCTCGCCACGGGTGTCGCTGAACCGCTGCGAGCGGCCATAGCCGGAGGCGAAGGCCGCCACGATTTCCGGTCGGTCCCGGTGGTTGTCCATCGTCCGGGCGTTTTCGTGGGAGTCCGCGAGCACGGTTCCGTCGCGCGCGATCAACGTCATACGGCGTTCTCGCTGCGTAGGAGTCAGTTCTTGCCCATCGCCGCCTCCGAACGAGGCGAGGCCCATGGACCACTCCCGAAGCGCCTCGGCGCCGGTGTCGTCGGGCGGATTCGCGAGTCCGGCCTGGGCCACCCCGTCCAGGATGGCGAAGGTCGAAGCGGCGGCGCTTTCTCTTACGACCTGCGCCGTGGTCGCCAACACCGCGAACAGCGCCGCCAGCGCGACCAGCAGGCTGGCCGCCGTCAGCCGGAGCGCGAGCCGCGACGGCCGACGGACCCGCCCGGGTCGCGGTGGGTCGTCGGTCGCTTTGGGATTCAAGGTGGAGGTTCGAAGCGATACCCGGCGCCCCGAACCGTCTTCAGGAGCGAGGAATTCCCCGACACGTCAACCTTCTGGCGCAGCCGCCGCACATAGACATCCACGCTGCGCAGCGTGATGTATTTCTCATGTCCCCACACCCGGTCGAGGAGCTGCTCCCGGGAGAAGACGCGTTGCGGGTGGGACGCCAGATAGTGGAGCAGTTTGAACTCCAGGTGCGTCACCGGAAGGTCGTCTCCGCCCCGCCGCACCTCGTGTGACGTCGGGTCAATCACCAGGTCACCGAACTGGAGGGCGCCCTCGTCGGGCGACGGGGCCGGTTGCTCGGTCCTGCCGGTACGGCGGAGCACCGCCCCTACCCGCGCCACCAGCTCCCGGGGGCTGAACGGCTTCGTGATGTAGTCGTCCGCCCCGAGTTCAATGCCTGCGATCACGTCGGCCTCTTCGCTCCGCGCGGTCAGCATGATCACCGGGAGACTCTGGTATTCGGAGTCCCGGCGCAGGCGCCGGCACAGATCGAACCCGCTGATCTCCGGCAGCATCAGATCCAGAATCAACAGATCGGGCCGCTCCCGCTCCAGTTGGGCCCATCCCTCCGCGCCGGTGGCGGCGGAGGTCACGCGGTAGGACTCGCGCTCCAGGTTGTAGCGGAGCAACTCGACGATGTCCGGATCGTCTTCGATGACCAGGATGTATTTCACGGCCGGAGAAATCGTACACACAGTTGGCGCATATGCTCCCGTGGTCTATGTCCGGACCGAAGATCGCGTTTCAGGGACACCCCGGCTCCTACTCCGACCTGACCTGTCGGGACCGGCACCCGGATCATGAGCCGCTGCCCTGCGAGGGCTTTGAGGACGCGTTCGCGGCAGTGGCCGAGGGGAGCGCGGAACTCGCGGTGATCCCCATCGAGAATTCGGTCGCCGGACGAGTCGCCGACATCCATCACCTCCTGCCCGAATCCCGTCTGCAAATCGTCGGTGAAGCCTTTCACCGGGTGCGGCACCAGCTCCTCGGGCTGCCCGGAGCCAGGCTCGGCGGACTCCGGACCGTCCACAGCCACCCGCACGCGCTCGCCCAGTGTCGGCAATACATCCGCGGCCGACGCCTCCTCCCAGTGGCGGAGGCGGATACCGCCGGGGCCGCGATACTGGTCGCGAGGAGCGGAGACCCCACGAAAGCCGCGATCGCCTCGGCGCTTGCTGCCGGGATTCACGGACTCTCGGTTCTGGCGCCGGACATCGCGGACATCTCGCTGAACATCACCCGGTTCCTCGTCATGGCCCGGGAGCCGGTTACGGTTCCGCGCGACGCCGACGCGATCACTACGTTCGTGTTCCAGGTGCGGAATCTCCCGGGCGCCCTCTACAAGGCGCTCGGTGGGTTCGCGACCAATGGAGTGAACATGCAAAAGCTCGAAAGCTACATGCTGGACGGCTCGTTCGCCTCGACCCAGTTCTACTGTGACGTGGCCGGCCATCCCGAGCACTCCGGGGTGGCGAAGGCGTTCGAAGAACTCCGCTTTTTCTCCCGGTCGGTCAGGATCCTGGGGGTCTATCCGGCCGATCCGCTGCGCACCTCGCAGTAACAGCCGGTAGACAAAATCACGCGGCCCAGTTCTCCCGGTGGGGGCTCGAGCGGCGATGCATCCCGGCCAAACAGCGCCGCTTCGCGTCGCTCATCGTTGCGCTTCGGTCGAAATACACCCGGGCCAGTTCTCCCGGTGGGGGCTCCTCCCTCGCGCGCCTTGTCAGCCGGGCGCCTCGCCGCTCTCGGCGCTCACGCCACTCTGTCCACAGGCTGTTAACGCTCGGGGTCGCGGGCACGCGGATTTTCGAAGCCGTAACGTTGCGCAAATCTGCGTTCACATTGAATTCATTTTGAGTCCCTGAATATTCACTCGATCTTGAACCTTGTTTCACGAATGGTTCAAGGACCCGTCATGCCGGAGAAACAACATGGCGCCTCATGTTGGGGGCAGATACGCGGTTCGAGCGCGGCCGCTCAGACAGCTCCTCGTCACCCGCCTTCCCAATCTTCCGGCGTCGGTCGTTTTTCCCTTCGGTCTCTTTGTCGCTGACGCTCTGGGCGGTGGCCGGGAGCGTGTTCGCGGGTGCGGGCGCAGTTCTGCCCGAGACGGAAACCCCCGAGACGGAAATCCAGGAAGCGGCCAGGCAACCGGCGACCGGAAGAAGTTCGTCCGAGGCTGCGGTGGCCGCCGGCGAGTCCGCAGCGATCGAACCGGAACCGCGTACGCGCGAGATTCAACTCGCCGACGACGAGAAGGCCCTCGCCGCGGAAGAGGCGGGGAACGGGGAATCGGATTCGGACGTGGCCGCCCAGGGCAGCGCCGGAGCGGCGTCGCTCGTGGATTTCAACGTGCGGTTTCGCGGCCGGGTCCTGGATGAGTTCCAGGAACTCGGCGACGCGGAGATCAGCAGTTTTTCGATCTGGAGCAAGACCAAGATCGGGGACCGCATCGTCACGAACATCACCTACGACCTGGGCAAAACCCGCATGCATGACTTCTGGGTGCAGTTCGACGTCGGCGGAGGGCTCCAGGTACGCGCAGGGCGCAGTTCGCTGGCCTGGCTCGGAGAGTTCACCGAGTCGTCACATTCCCGCCAGATGGTGTCACGCCGCGGTCGGCTCCAGCCTGACCCGGTCGAGGGAGGTGGGAGTCTTCCTTTTCGCTGACCGGGGTCCTTATGACGCCCGGCTTCATGTGGTGCAGGGCAGTGGGTACGAGGCAGACAACAACTCGTCAAAGGACGTGCTGGCGAGCGTTGGCCGCACGTTCGACGTTGCCGGGAGCTCCTGGCTGGTGGACGCCGGGCCACTACGAAGGCCGCGACGGACCGGACGACGCCCTCGTGCCGCGGCGGCAGACGGGGGTCCATGTGGATGGTGTGCTCGGCTCCGGCCAGGTGTTTCGCGGCGCCGCCTTCCGCCGGGAGCAGCACGGCAGGGAACACCTTGGCGGTTTCGCCCGGCTCCGCCATCGTCTTCCCCAGGGCATCTGGGCCGCCGCGGAACTCGGGACGGAAACGAACCATGGCCCGCTGGACAACCCGGGAGCACTCCAGCTACGTGATCGCCGGAGCTCGTTACGAGCTCCCGTGGAGCATGACCCATCTTTCCGCCGACTACCGTTGGCGGTTCGGCGCCGTAGGCGACCACGAGTTGCTGCTTCTCTTCCAATGGCTCTTCGACTTCCAGAACCCCCGGCGTAACTGACCCTCGCTCGGTTCGAGGCCGGGCGGCTGTCCGCTACCGGGGACGCAGCTTCGAACTGGTTGCGGTGGACTTCGTGGGCGAGAGCACCGACTACGGCCCGTTCCAGGTCCACCGGGAGACGGTGCTCACCGTCCGCGCCCCCGACGGCGAACGCGGAACCCTGCGGATCTTCGGCTCGATGCTCGGCAGGACGGCCGCTACCAGATCTTCAGCTTCGTCACCGACTGAGCGACTATCCGGCGGCGGCCGGCGCCGCCCCTTCAGCGATCCCGGACGCGGAGCTCGATCCCGATGGCCGCGAGTTGTTCCGCCTCCTTCGCGATGCCGGCGCGGGTCAGGGGGTGGTGGTCGAGCCAGCCCGGGGGGAAAGCGAGCTCAAGCTGACCGTCGGGCGCGCTGGCCTCAATAAGGGGCAGGGGCTCGCGACTGCGGCGCCGGCAGAGCAGGACCGCGATCCGCAGGATGGCGGCCAGTCGGCCGCTGGTGACGGGATCGGCGGCAGTCATCTTCTCGAAGCGCCCGGGCCGCAGCCTCTGCCGGTGGGTCTCGATCAGCGCGGCGAGCAGTTCCTGGTCGTCCCGCGAAAAGCCCGGCATGTCCGTGTTGCGCACGATGTAGGCGCCGTGGTGGTGATGGCCGCTGAAGGAGACGGAGAGGCCGACCTCATGCAGCTCGGCCGCCCAGCGCAGAAACCGTTCGTGCGCCTCGTGTTCGAGGCCCCACGGCCGCTTTAGCTGTCTCAGGCCGACCAGCGCGGTGGCCTTGACCCGCTCCGCCTGTTCGCGGTCCACGCGGTACTGGGTCATGAGGTTCCGGATCGTGCTCTCCCGGACATCCTGCCTCCGGCGCCGGCCGATCAGGTCGAAGAGCACGCCCTCACGGAGCGCTCCCTCGGCCGGCTCGATCCTTTCGATGTCGAAGGTCTCCATGGCCGCGCGCAGGACCGCGATGCCGCCGGGGAAATCCAACGCCCGATCGGCGGGAAACCCCGGAATAGCAGCGGGTCCGCGGGCGAGGGCTTCCACGTGGGCGCCGCGGATCATCCGGTCCCTGAGCCCCTTCAGCGCCACCCGGGTCAGGCCGCCGTTTGACCGCAGAAGCTCGGCGGCGGCCAGCACCGTGCCGGAGGATCCCAACACCCGAGACCACCCGAGCGCCAGAAATCCTTCCTCCACGGTCTCGAGTTCGCGGCGGGCCTCGGTCTCGGCGGCGACGAAGGCCGGCTCGGTGATCACGCCGCCCGGGAAGAAGCGGCCCGTGAAGGAAACACACCCCATATAGAGGCTTGCCGCCCGGAGCGGCTCCTCCCCCTGTCCGATGACCAATTCGGTGCTGCCGCCTCCGATATCCAGCACCAGCCGGCGGCCGTTTTCCTCCGGAAAAAGGGTACTGACTCCCACATAGATGAGCCGCGCTTCCTCCACGCCGGAGATGATCTCCACCCGATGCCCGAGAGCTTTCGTCGCATCGCCGAGCAATGCCTTCCGGTCCTTCACTTGCCGGAAGGCGTTGGTGCCCACCGCGCGCGCCTGGCCGGCCGGGATATCCCGGATGCGTTCCCCGATTCGGGCGAGCGCGGCTGCGGCGCGCCGCCACGTCGCGGGTTCGACGGCCTTGTTCCGGATGCCGGCGGCGAGCCGCACCGGCTCCTTCACCCGGTCCACCACTTCGATGTTCTCGCCGTGGACCCGGGCGACGGTGAGGTGGAAGCTGCGGGAACCGAGGTCCACCGCCGCGAAGAGCCCCAGCGGAAGGCGCCGTCTGGTGGTCATGCGCGGGGCCGGCGACAGCGGCCGCGGTTTCCTGCGAGTGGCGTGACGGGTGTGGGGCGCACCGCTCCGCTTCCCCTGTTCATCGTTTCAAGATCCTTTCCGGGTGGCCTGAGTGGTGGGCCTGCTACCGCATTAGCATCCCGGCGCTATGGCAACCTGGGTCGTCGGCGATGTGCAGGGGTGTTTTAGCACTTTCAGGCGCCTTCTGGACCGTATCGAGTTCCGCCCCGAACGTGACCGGCTGTGGTTCGCGGGCGATCTGGTCAACCGGGGGCCGGACTCCCTCGGCATGCTGCGCTGGGCGTACCGGCACCGGGATTCGATCGTCTGCGTGCTTGGAAATCACGACCTGCACCTGCTGGCGCAGCGCGAAGGTGTGATCCCCGCCCGCCGCCGCGACACCCTTGTTCCGGTGCTGGCCGCACCTGATGCCGATGATCTTTGCGACTGGGTCGCGGGGCTCCCCTTCGTCCATCGGGAGGACGGCTTCCTTCTCGTGCACGCGGGAGTGCTGCCTCGGTGGGATCTCTCCGACATCGAAGCCGCGGCGGGGGACGCCAAGGGTGCCCTCGCCGAGGATCGCGGTGGTTTCTTGCGCGCGCTCTATTCCGTAAGGGGCGACGGCCCGCGGCGGAAGAAGAACGCTGATGAAGCGCCGGGCCCGAACGGTCCGGCCGGCGGGCGGCACCTGGCGGGCGCGACCGCCGCATCCGTGTTGACCCGGATACGGATCGTGGACGCCGCCGGAATCCCGTCTTTCGCGTTCGACGGCGTTCCCGAAACCATCCCGCCGGGTCATCGGCCGTGGTTCGAAAGCGTTTCGCTGCCCGCGGGAATGACCGTGCTCTTCGGCCACTGGGCCGCGCTGGGCCTGATGGTTTCGGAGCGGGCGGTGTGCCTGGATTCGGGTTGCGTCTGGAACGGCTCGCTGACCGCGCTGCGCCTGGAAGACGGCGCCCTTATGGTCCAACCGGCGGCCGAGGGCGACGGGCAGCCTCTGTAACCTTTCTGTCACATTTACCCGCCGGACCGAGACGGAGAGTCCGCGCCGCACGGGAGGGGTGCCAGGAGGGGTTTTCCCTCCTCGCGAAAGACGAGGGCGCGAATCGCGCCCTCACCTGGGGGGAAAGCGCCCCGCACGCGCGTAAAACCCAGATTCGGTTCGCCTTTCGCCCTCGGCACAGTGCGGGTGCTTTTTCCACGGGCTGTTGACCCGTGAACACCCCAACCCCCGGCCGGCGGAGGCCGGGACGCCGGAATCAGCGCTTCTTCTTGACGGTGGTCTGGAACGCGCCATCCCCGAACTGAAGGCGCATCGGCTCCCGGGTCTCGAGGTTGTAGCGGTCGCCGGGCATCAGGAAATAGAACCCGCCGCCGTTCGGCAGTACCCGCGTGTTGTCGTAGATGGCCACGTAGCCCTGTCCGATGACCTCGAATCCGTTTCCGCGCACCACGATGGCGGTGTCTTCGTCGATTCCGATCCCGAGAAGTTCGGGTTTCGCGGCGGTGATTTCGAGCAGGTCGAAGTGCCGGTTCCGCACCAGCAGGTGCTGGTCGATGGCCACTCCGCGAACGAAGGCGAATCCCTCCTCGTGGTCTCCCATCATGATGGTGTTGCCGCTCGTGTCGCCGCGGGCGAGATATTCGCCCTGGATCGTCGCGCCGGCCGAAGAACCGCCGATCACCCCGCCGCGGGCCAGCAGGGCGTGGAGCTCGCGCTCGGTGCGGGTGTCGGCGTAGGCGTCCACCAGCCGCCACTGCCGTCCACCGGGGAACCACACGCCGCGGGCCTTCGTGATCGGCGCCGCGAACTCCTCGCTCTCCGCCTCTTCCCGGTCCCAGGTGTGGATCACGGTGATGTTGGTGGCGCCCAATTCCCGGAACCGGCGCGCCCCCGCGTACCAGTCGTCGTAGGCGTCTTCGCCGCCGGCCGTGGGGATGATCACGATGGGGGCTTCGGGACCGCCGGCGAGGCTGATGAAGCGCTCGAGGATCGCTTCGTCGCGGAGCGCTCCGCCGACGATGACCAGGGAGCCCTGCTCGGGTCCCTGCTGGGCGGACGCGGCAACTGGGAGCGCCAGCGCCAGCCCGATGAGAAGCAGTACGAGGTTGCGGGAGCGAGTTTGGGACATGGCCGGGATCCTCCGTTCGGAATGAGAGCCTGAACAGGGCCGATTATCCGCCTATTGGTGCTGCGCTGCCGGCGGACCGTGACCTTGCGCCTTTCGTCCGCCTCTCGGCGGGCGATGCCGGCCCCACACCGGGCGGACTGGCCAGGGGTCCCTTCCCTGCGTTTCACCGGACGGGGCCGACGGATCATTCGTCCTCCGGCGTCGATCCGCTTCCCTACACTCTCGCACCATGCGCCACGTGGTGGTCGGCACCGCCGGCCACATCGACCACGGGAAGAGCTCGCTGGTCCTCGCGCTCACCGGGACCGATCCCGACCGGCTGAAGGAAGAGAAGGCTCGCGGAATCACCGTGGACCTCGGGTTCGCCCATCTCGAGCACGAGGGAGTGACCTACGGCTTCGTGGATGTGCCGGGGCACGAGCGCTTCGTGCGCAACATGCTCGCGGGCGCGTCCGGTTTCGACGTGGTGCTGCTGGTGGTGGCTGCCGACGAATCGGTCATGCCCCAGACCCGTGAGCACATCGAGATCTGCCGGCTGCTGGGAATTCGGTCCGCCGTCGTGGCGCTCACCCGGGTTGATCTCGTGGAGGACCGGGAGTTCATCGAGATTGCGGCCCTCGAAGTGCGCGAGTTGCTTGAGGGGTCGGCGATGGCAGGGGCGCCGCTGGTGCCCGTCTCGTCGAAGACCGGCGAGGGACTCGGTGAACTCAGGGAGGCACTTGCGGCCGCGGCCGCCGCCGCCGGGCCCCGGGACGTCTCGGGTCTCTTCCGGTTGCCCGTCGACCGCGCCTTCACCATGCGCGGCTTCGGCGCGGTCGTCACCGGCACGCTCGCCGCCGGCCAGGTCAGGGTCGGTGGCGACGTCGAGATCCTCCCCGCTGGGGAGCGCGCCCGGGTCCGGGGCCTGCAGGTACACGGAGCCCCCGTCGAGTCGGGTCAAGCCGGCCAGCGGGTCGCGGTCAACCTCTCCGGAGCCGGCCGCTTCCGGGTTGAGCGGGGGTCGGTGATCGCGGCGCCCGGCGAACTGGCTTCCACCCGGATGGTGGACGCCCGGCTGGAGTTGCTCGCCTGGGCGGCCGGACCGGTCGAAGACGAGGACCGGGTGCATCTGCATGTCGGGACCGCCACCGCGCTCGCCCGGGTCCGGCTTCTCGGCGGGCTGGCGCAGCTCGCTCCCGGAGATTCCGGCCTCGTCCAGTTGCGGCTGGAGACCCCGCTGACGGCGGTGCGCGGCGATCGATTCATCATCCGGCGTTATTCGCCGGTCATCACCATTGGCGGCGGGACCATCCTGGATGCGCTGCCCCCCAAACGCTCTCCGAGAAGCCCGGCGGCTCGCGAGCGGGTTCTCGCCCTCGATCGCGCGACCGACGCCCGCGCCGCGGCAGCGTTCGTGGACGAGGCGGGAGTTCGGGGTCTGAGCGAGGGGCGGCTGCGCACCCGACTTGGAGTTCGCGCGCCGGATGCCGCACGGGTGCTTCGGGAACTCCGCGAACGGGGCGAGATCGAAGCGGTAGGCGACGGCGCTCCGGCCAGCGCGGCTGGGCGGGTTCTCCTGTCGCCGTCCAGTCTGCGAGCGGTGCAGGAGCGGATGACCTCGCTGCTCACCGCCTGGGAAACCGAAAACCGGCTGCGGGCCGGGATGCCCGTGGAACAACTCCGGGAACAGACCGGCGTCCCCCCGGCAGTGGCGGACGGCGCGCTGGCGCGTCTCGCCAGCGCCGGCGCCGTCGAGCTCACCCGCCACACGGTGAGCACCGCGGGCCGCCAGATCCAGCTCTCGGATTCCGAGCAGCGCGCTCTCGACGGTCTGGCAGGGCTGCTCGACGAAGGCGGATTCACTCCGCCTACCCTGGGGGAAGCGGCGGAAGAACTCGGGGTTTCGCCGGAACTCGTGGATGCCCTGAGGCGCCTGCTGCTTCGGGAAGGCCGCGCCGTGGACGTAAGTCCGGACCTCTACTTCGATGCCGCCCGGCTCGCCGGACTTCGCCAGGCCGTAGCCGAACGGGCCACCGTGAATCCCGAGATCGACGTCGCCTGGTTCAAGCGGAACTTTGGTCTGAGCCGCAAGCACGCGATCCCCCTGCTGGAGTGGCTCGACCGCGAGCGGGTGACGGTGCGGGTGGGAAACCTGCGGAAGATCCGAACCGGTGCGGGCCCCGGGAGCTTCCCCCGCATGAACCAGTGGGTCGCCGATCTGCGGTTCGCGATCCGCTCGCTCCGCAGCCGTCCCCTCCTGACCGGGCTCGCGGCGGGTTTTGATCGGCGCTCCGTTCATGGTTCTGATGGTGGTCTTCGTTCGCAACCTCCTGACCGGCTTCGCGCTGCCGGTGCGCCACGCCGCTCGCGTCCCCCCCAGTCAAGCGCTCCGGGTCTAGCGGCCGGTGGTGGAACCCGGGTGAGCGCCGAGCGCGGCCAGTTCTCCCGGTGGGGCCTTCAGACCGGCATCGCGGCTGCAAGCCGCGAGACTCCCAGAGTTCTTCATCCTCATCACCTCGACCCAGGCGGGGACGGCGAGACGAACCCCGCGCCAGCGAACTCCCATTGCCGATCCTTCGCAATTGGCACCGGTCGCCCCTCGCCCCCGCAAATATGATCGCGACCATGCCCCGCACCCCTTTTCTCCGCATTTCGGCCCTGCTCACCGCCGTGCAGCTCCTTGCGTGTACGCCGGAGCCCCAGGATTCCCCCGCGCACTACGGGAAGGCGGACGGCGAACTTGCCGCTCGGATCTACCCCCTCGTCCAGGACGCCCTCCACAACCACCCCGCCCCCGGGATTTCCGTGGCCGTGCAGCGGGACGGCGAGATCGTCTTTGCCGGAGGGTTCGGATACGCGGACCTCGAGAACGAGGTGCCCGCGACGGCGGACACGGTGTATCGCATCGGTTCGGTCACCAAGCAGTTCACTGCCGCCGCCGCCCTGCTGCTCGTCGAGGAAGGCAAACTGGATTTGTCCGCCGACCTGCGCGATTACCTGCCGGACTACGACACGCACGGCTTCGAGGTGTCGATCGAGCGGCTCCTCAACCACACGTCGGGGATCAAGGGCTATACGGAGATGCCCGAGTTTTGGGAGCGGTCCCGCCTGGACCTCGGTCACGAGGCCATGCGGGAACTGTTCTCCGCGCCGCCCTTCGAGTTCGAACCCGGGGACCGCTACCAGTACAGCAACTCGGGCTACTACCTGCTTGGAGTCCTCATCGAACGCCTCTCCGGAATGAGCTACCCCGCGTTTCTCGAGGCGCGGCTGTTCGAGCCGCTGGGTCTGGAGCGGACCCACTACCTCAGCAACCGCCCCCTCATCCCCGGCCGCGCCGAAGGCTATGAAGTCGGAGAAGGGAACGGTTTCGTGAACGATGAGCCGCTGAGCATGGAACTGCCCTACGCGGCCGGCTCGCTGGGGGCGAGCGTCGTGGATCTCCTCGCCTGGCAGCGGGCGCTGGTTTCGGGGCAGGTGGTGAGTCCCGCCAGCTACCAGGCGATGACCGCTCAGGGCAGCCTCGTGAACGGCGATCCGTTCCACTACGGCTACGGGCTCCGCCTGGGGGAGGAACACGGCCTCGCCCAGATTTCCCACGGCGGGGGCATCAACGGCTTCCGGGCCGAACTCGCGTTCTATCCCGAGGCCGGACTCGGCATCGCGGTCCTCATCAATTCGGGGTCGGGACGGCCCGGTCTGCTGGAGAACCGGATCGCCCGGGTGGTGCTGGGTATGGAGCAGCCCGAGATCGCGGAGGTCGAACTTCCCGAGTCCGAACTCCGGCGCTGCGCCGGCACCTACGATCCCGGCCGGTCACCCCTCACCATCCGCTTCGAGGACGGGGCGCTCCTCGGTTTCGGTGAGCGCCTGGTGCCGGTCGGCGACGGTGTGTTCCATCCGGAAGGCGATCCCTTCACCCGGGTGGTTTGCGAACCGGGCCCGGAGGATGGCGCTGCTCCCGCCCTCACGGTTTCCGGTGGGGGGGTGAGCACCCGCTACCCCCGGGTTGGCGCTTCCCGGCAACCGTCTGGTGGGGGCTAAACTGCCGCGCTCATGTCCAGCGTTGAAGTTCAAAGGACCATCGCGGCGCCGCCCGATCGGGTATTCCGGATCGCGACCGATCTCCACAGCCTGGCGGCGAACGTGTCCGGCATCGATAGCGTCGAGGTGTTGACCGAAGGGCCGGTCGGGGAAGGCAGCCGCTGGCGGGAAACCCGGACCATGATGGGCCGACCGGCCACCGAAGAGATGTGGGTGACCGGGTTCGAGGCGCCCCGGCGGTTCGTGGTGGAGGCGGCGTCGCACGGCGCGCAGTACCGCACCGAAATGACCTTCGAACCCGAGGGCGCCGGCACCCGGGTCACCATGGTCTTTGCGGCCCGTCCGGTGAGCTTCCTCGCCCGGCTCTTCGCCCTCTTCAGCGCCGTCATGCTCCGAAGCCTCCGCAAGATGCTCGAGCAAGATCTTGAAGATTTGAAACAGGCGGCTGAATCCCCGGCCTGAATTCCCTGCCTGAATCTCCTGCCTGACGCGACCTCGCTCCCGAGCCGATGAGGGCCCCCAATCTCCATCCGTCGTGGATCCGGAGGAGCAGATGAGCTCGCTGAAACGAGCCGACGGAGCACGATTCAGCGTGGATAGGGAAGGGGCTCGTCCGGCGGGGCTCCCGGTCCGTAGCCAGCGCCTGATCCTTCGGCCGTTTCGCGAGGCCGACTTCGCCGAAGTCCATGAGTACGCGAGCGATCCCGAGGTCACCCGTTTCCTTCGTTGGGGGCCGAATCCCGCATCCGAAACGCTTCGTTTCCTGCGACAAGCCATCGCGGACACCCGGTCTCCCGACGGGTCGCGCCTCGACCTGGCCGTCGTGGAGCGGAAGAGCGTGCGGGTACGCGGCGGTCTCAGCCTCGAAGAAAAGGCGCCCGGCCTGGTGGAAATCGGCTATTGCCTCGCGAGGCCGGTCTGGGGGCTTGGCTACGCGACCGAGGCCGTCCAGGGCGCCGTCCGTTTCGCCGAGGCCCGCTTCGCCGGGGCGGAATTGTTCGGATTGGTGGTCCCGGGCAATGTTGCTTCCGAGCGGGTGCTACGCCGGGCCGGCTTCGAACCGGCGGAAGACTCCGCCCCCTACGCACCCTGGATGAACGGGCTCTGCGCTACGGCCCGCGCTTTCCGCCGGCGCCCGTCCCCCCGGTCTTGACGCCTCCCCGCTCTCCCCGCCCGGGATCTCGCCGGCCCACCGCCAAAGGGCCGGTGAGGCCGCGCTACTCCGTTCGGGTTCCGGTGCGCCGCCGGCCGCTGCCGGGGGACGGACCCGCCGACCGGCTCCTGGAGAACGGGGCGCGATCCCTGACCAGTGCCGAGCTGCTCGGTCTCGTGCTCGGTCCGGGTCGGAACGATCTGGCCCGCGGGCTCCTCGAGGACGTCGGGGGCGTCGCGCGTCTCAGCCAGACTCCGCTTGGCCAATTGGCTGAGAGGCTTTCGCGAGCGCGGCTCATCCGCTTGGCCGCCGCCCTCGAGCTGGGGCGCCGGGCGGGTTATCCGGCGGACGGCCAGGTGCCGTGCTTCCGAAACCCGGCGGAGGTGGCGCGCTATCTCATCGCCCGCTTCGGGAACTGCGAAGTCGAGGAGTTCGGGATCCTGATGCTCGACAGTCGGGGCTGTCTGCGCCGGGCCGAAATCATCTCGCGAGGCTCGCTTACCGGAGCCCCCGTTCATCCCCGGGATTTATTCCGGCTTGCCGCCGCCTATCAGGCGGTATCGCTGATCCTGTTCCACAATCACCCCTCGGGAGATCCCGAGCCCTCGGAAGCGGACCGTCAACTCACCCGGCGCCTTCAGGAAGCCGGAGCGATCATGGGAATCCCGGTTCTCGATCACCTGGTGATCGGCGCCGGGAAATGGCATAGCTTCAGCGAAGCGGGCGCGCTCTGAAGCGCCCGGGGCTGTTAGTCCTGGGCGGCTCCCTGGCAGTGCGAGCAGACGCCGTAGAGCTGGTGCCGGTGCCAGACGAGCCGGTAGCCGTGTTCGGTTGCGATCTCCTCTTGCCGCTGCTCGACTTCCGGCGACAGGAACTCGTCGATCCGGTTGCAACGGACACAGATGAGGTGATCGTGATGTCCCCGCGAGAGCGCCGGCTCGAACCGGGTGAGACCGTCCTTCAGGTCAATCGAGGTCGCGATGTGGGCTTCGCAAAAGAGGCGGAGAGCCCGGTAGACGGTTGTGCGGCCGATGGAGGCGTCCGCCTCCCGCACGTTGCCATGGAGGTCGTCGGCGGAGACATGTCCGCCCAGGCCGAGGAAACGGTCCAGAATGAGTTCCCGCTGCCGGGATTTCTTCAGACCGCGTTCCCGGGTGAACTCCCGCAGGCGTCGAAAGGCTTCTTCGCGCATCGAAGCCGGGCTCTCTGGCGTGGGTACGAAAGTACTCATCAGCGGAATCCGTCGTTGCCGCGCCGTCACGCCGGTCCGGCTTGGGGCGTCCTGCGCTGCCAAGAGTACCCGGTTCGAGTTCAGGACCTGCTGACGCCTCGCCGGCCGGTCCGCGGCGCGGTCGGACGACGCCGCGCGGCGTCCCGCTTCCCGGAGCCGGTGGACAAAGTGCGGTGGGCGCCGAGGTCCCCAGCGGGAGAAACCCCCATGATCGGGTCCGCCCACACGCCCCGCCGGTCATGAAAAAGGCGCGGCCTCAGGGTGGGTAAGCGGTGAGCGGTCGCGGCATCCGGGCTGTCGGCGTCGCGGCGCAACTGCATTTTCACCGCAATTGGGCCGCCTGACCTGGTCCACAGGCTCCTAGAATCCGCCGTTCCCGTGCGCATCCTCTACCTCGACCTTTCCTCCGGCGTTTCGGGGGACATGCTGCTCGGCGCGCTGGTGGATGTGGGAGTGCCGCGCGAGGTGCTCTCGAGTACCGTCGCGGCGCTTCGGTCCCCGGTTTCCGTCTCCTTCGCTGAGAGTTCCCGGGGAGGACTTCGCGGGATCAAGGCGCATGTTGAGGCCGCCGACGATCGCGGGCATCGCCATCTCAAGGACTTTCTGAACGTGCTGGACCGGAGCGGGCTGCCGGATGAGGTTTCGGGGCGGGCGGTAGAGCTCCTCCGGCGCATCTTCGAAGCCGAAGGGCAGATCCACGGCATGTCGGCGGAATCGGTGCACCTGCACGAACTGGGATCGCTCGACACTCTGGTCGACATCGTGGGAGCGGTGGCGGGAGTGGCGTATCTGGCTCCCGACGCCGTGGTGGGCTCGCCCGTGAATGTGGGAAGCGGTTCGGTCGAGGCGGAGCACGGAACCCTGGAGATTCCGGCCCCGGCGACGGCCCTGTTGCTGCGGGGGATACCCACCTTTGCGGACGGTTCCGGCTTTGAGCGCACGACCCCCACGGGAGCCGTACTGACCGGTCTCGCCGACTCCTTCGGCGGTTGGCCGGCGATTGCCCCGGAACGGATCGGATACGGCCTCGGCTCGGCCGATCCCAAGCAAGGGCGCCCCAACGCGCTCCGCGTCGTCCTCGGGTCAGCGCCCGACGGTTCCGGGAACGCGGTGGTCGTCGTTGAAGCGACCCTCGACGATCTGCCGCCCGAAATCGCGCCGCATCTCCTCGACCGGCTGCTCGCCGCCGGAGCCCGGGACGCCTTCTTCACTCCCGTGCAGATGAAGAAAGGGCGCCCGGGCTTGGCCGTTACCGCTCTCGCCGATCCCGGGCGCCGCGAAGCGGTGGTAGCCACGCTGTTCCGGGAGAGCACGACGCTCGGAGTCCGGATCAGGGAGGCGGAGCGGGAGACCCTCGAACGACGGACGCTGCGGGTGGAGACTCCGTGGGGCCCGGTGGGAGTGAAGGTGGGCCTCTCCAACGGAAGGGTGATCAACCGCGCTCCGGAATTCGAGGACTGCCGTCGATTGGCCGAGCGCACCGGGGTCCCCCTGAAAGAGATTCACCGGGAGGCCCTGGGAGCGCCCCTTCCCGCGTTCGGGAATCCGACCCGCGAAGGAGGCGCGCCGGACCCGCCTGCGTCTGCCGCGCCGGATGGTTCGCGATGACCGACTCCCACGGTCATCTCGACCAGCCGGCCTTCAACCTCGATCGACGGGCAGTGCTGGAGCGGGCCAGGCGGGCGGGCGTCTCCACCATCGTCTCCATCGGAATGCTGGACGAGGAGGCCTCCTGGAAGCAGACCTTTTCGCTCGTGGATGGCGTCCATCCGAACGGGGAGGATCACGCGGACCCGGACCTGCCGCAGCTCTTCACGACCCTGGGTTGCCATCCCCACGATGCCCGGCTTTTCGGTGAGCTTGGCGGGGAGGAGCGTCTCGCCGAACTCGCGGGCCGGCCGCGGCTGCTGGCCATCGGCGAAGTGGGGCTCGACTACCACTACGACCTGAGCCCGCGCGCCGAACAGCGCGATGTGTTCCGGCGCCAGATCCGGGTGGCGCGGGAGCTGGGACTCCCGGTCGTGGTGCACCACCGCGATGCGGAGGATGACTTCCTGCAGATCGCCGACGAGGAAGAACTCGCGGAATGCGGGGCCATCCTGCATTGCTTTACGGCGAGCGAACGGCTTGCCCGCGCCGCCTGGGAACGCGGTTTCCTGATTTCTTTTTCCGGAATCCTCACCTTCAAGAACGCCGAAGATCTCCGGCGGACGGCTGCCCTGGTGCCACTGGAGCAGCTCCTTGTCGAAACCGACTGTCCCTACCTGGCCCCCGTGCCGCACCGCGGGCGGCGCGCCGAACCCGCAATGGTCGTGGAGACCGCCCGCTGTCTCGCCGCGGTGCGCTCTGCCGGGCTCGAGGCAATTGAGGCGGCCACCGACGCCAATTTCCGGCGCTTTTTCTTCAGCCGGCGGCGATCATCGGACAGGGGCCCCGCAGCGTGCAGCGCGTGAGATAATCGCAAGCAAGTCCGGTAATGCTGTCCGTTTCGAGCCCCGGGAGCCTGCTCTCCGAGTTGGAGGCCGAACTGGCTTCGGATCTGGCCGCGGTCGAGCGCATCCTGGCCGCCCGGGTGGAAAGCGACCTGGAGCTGGTGAAGCTGACCAGTCAATACCTCTACCGGAGCGGGGGCAAACGCATCCGTCCGATGCTGCTGCTGATCGCGGCGCGCGCCGCAGGGGCCCCCGAGAGCGAGGAGACGGCCGCCAGAGCCCCCTACTACGGGGCGATGGTCGAGATCATGCACACCGCGACGCTCGTCCACGACGACATCGTCGACGAGGCGGATACCCGCCGGGGGCAGGACTCGCTGAACAGCCTGCTTGGCAACGACCTCACGGTCCTGATCGGTGATTTCCTCTACATCCAGTCCATGGCGCTGGCCGTGGAGCAGGGGAATCCGCGGATCGTCGCGACGATGTGCGACCTCACGATGCGCATGATCGAAGGGATGCTGCTCGAGAAGGCGCGAGGTGGGACCCTGGGGCTGACCCGCGAGGAGCACCTGCGGATCCTGCGGCTCAAGACGGCCTACCTCTTCCATGGCTGCGGCAAGATGGGGGCGATGATGGTCGGAGCGCCGCCCGCCGTGGAAGGGGCCCTCGGCGACTACTGCATGAATCTCGGGATGGCGTTCCAGGTAGCTGACGACCTCTTTGACTTCACGGCCAGCGCTGCCATGGTGGGCAAACCTGTGCTCAGCGACCTGAAAGAAGGGCATCTGACCCTGCCGATCCTCCACGCCCTCGAGCGGGAACCGGCGGCGGCGTCCCTTGTCGAGGAAGTGCTCGACAGTGGCGACCTGACTCCCGATCAGCAGAAGGAAATCCTCGCGCTGGTCGAGCGTCAGGGCGGGCTCGACGAGGCGCGGCGGGTCGCGGAAGGTTTCGCGGCTTCGGCTCGGGAGGCCCTCGCCCCGGTCCCGCCTTCGTCCTACCGGGACGGTCTGGAAGCGCTTGCCGAGTTCGTGATCTGGCGCGACCGTTGAGCGCTAGCAGCGCGGCTGCTAAACCGCCGGGTCTTCCGTTTCCTCCCTATCGGCACCGGCCCGGCCGCACTCCCCACCCCGAACGGGACCCGGCCGGTCACCGCTTCCTCGAGCATCTTCCGAGCGGTCTCCTTCCGGCCCCCCCGGTCCCACTGTCCGCGCTGCCCGAGGCCCCGCTCTTCCGGTATGGGGAGCAGTTGTTCCGCGCCGGGTACTGGTGGGAGGCCCACGCGGTCTGGGAGGAACTCTGGCGGGCCGCCGCTCGGGAAGAGCCCGGGGAGACGCCCGAGCGAGAAGTGCTCCGGGCGTTCGTCCAACTGTCGGCGGCAGCGCTCAAGAACGATCTCGGAGGGGTTCGGGGAAGCCGGAAGCTCCTGTCCGCCGCCCGGAGCCGGATGGCGCGGGTTTCCGACCGCGGCGACACCGGGTTGCTGCGGCCGCGGTTCGAGGCGCTCCGCGTCGCAGCCGGGCTGGCAGCCGGTGGTGGAACCCGGGCGAGCGCCGAGAGCGGGGAGGCGCCCGGCTGACAAGGCGCGTGAGGGAGGAATACCACGTGTATTTCGACCGAAACGCAACGCAGAACGGAGCGAAGCGGAGTGGTTCAGCCGGGATGGATCGCCGCTCGAACGCCGCCTGGGTTTCACCACAGGTTGCTAGCATCCGTCTGAATGCCGATACCAGTCTCCGGCGATGAGGACATCGCGGTACTTGTCGTAGACGACGAGGCGGTGATTCGCAGATCGCTCCGCCGCCGATTGCGGTACGAGGGTTGGCGGGTCTTCGAAGCCGCTTCGGGCCCCGACGCGCTCGCCGCGCTGGAGCGCGAGCCGTGCGATCTCGTGGTTTTGGACATCAAGATGCCCGGGATGGACGGGATGGAAGTCCTCCGGCGCATTCGCGCCGAGAAACCATCGGTGGCGGTCGTCATGCACACCGGTCACGGCGACATCGAGACCGCGGTGCGGGCGATTCAGGAAGGCGCCGCCCACTTCCTCGAAAAGGGCGGGGGCGGAGACATCGGCGCCTGTCTTCGCATGGCGATCGACAAGACGCGGACGCTGGAGAGGAAGCGGCTTGAAGGCGAGAATCGCCGCCTGGCCGCCGAGGTGGACATGCACCGCAGCCGGGAGGGAGAACACCGGCAACTCGTGGGCAAGTCTCCGGCCATTGCGGCAGTGCGCGAGCGCATCGAGCGCGTTGCACCGAGCGATGTGCGGGTGCTTATCACCGGCGAGTCCGGCACCGGCAAGGAAGTGGCGGCGCGGCTCCTCCACGACCGCAGTGGCCGCGCCGGTGGACCTTTTGTCGAAGTCAACTGCGCGGCAATCCCCGAGGAACTCATCGAAAGCGAACTGTTCGGAGCTGAGCGGGGGTCCTACACGGGTGCGCACCGGCAGATGGTGGGCAAATTCGAGCAAGCCCATGGGGGCACGCTGTTCCTCGACGAAGTCGGGGATATGAGCGCTCGGACCCAGGCCAAGGTGCTGCGGGCCCTCGAGGAAAATCGGATTACCCGGGTCGGGGGTTCAAAATCCGTGGAAGTGGATGTCCGCGTTCTGTCCGCGACGAATCAGGACCTTGAGAAGGAGGGTTTCCGCAGCGATCTGCTCCACCGTCTGAACGTGATTCCCATTCGGATGCCTCCCCTCCGGGGCCGCCCGGAGGACGTTCCGCTGCTCGTTACGCACTTCCTGAAACAGTTCGAGGCGAGCGGGCAGCGTCCGCGCCCGTTCACCGATGGCGCTCTCGACCTCCTCGCTACCCAGTCGTTCCCGGGGAACGTCCGGGAGCTCCGGAATCTCGTGGAACGCCTCCTGATCCTGAGCCCGGGAGATGAGATCGGCGAGGAGGACGTGCGCGAGCACCTTTCGGGGATCTTGCCGTCCGAGGACTCGGGAGGACTCGCCGAGTATCTGGCAACCAAGGAACGTCAATTCGTCGAGCGCAGATTGGCCGCCCTCGACGGGGACCGGGACCGGGCTGCCCGGAGCCTTGGCGTCGAGCCTGAGGCTCTTGCTCGGCGCCTCGCGAAGGCGGAAACTCCGGGCCGCTAGAATTCCGCCCGGTTCGAGTCGTTCAGACGGTCGCCGGCTCCCTCGGGAGCGGGAGGAAAGTCCGAACTCCGCAAGGCAGTGCGCTGGGTAACCCCCAGTCCGGGTGACCGGAAGGAAAGTGCCACAGAAAACAAACCGCCTCTCCCTCCGGGGAGCGGTAAGGGTGAAAAGGTGCGGTAAGAGCGCACCGCCTGGGCAGCGATGTCCAGGGCACGGTAAACCCCGCATGGAGCAAGACCAAATAGAGAAGCACCCGAGGGCCGCCTGTCCGAGCTTCCGGGTAGGTCGCTTGACCCGTCGGGTAACCGCCGGGCTAGATGCATGACCGTCACCCCGCCGCGGGCAACCGCGCCAGGGAACAGAATTCGGCTTACGAGCGGCTCGGACCCCAGCAGCGCCGGCCAGTCCTCCCGGTGGGGGCCTCCGACCGGCATCGCTCCCCGCAGGGGAGCGAAACTCCCATCGCTATTTCCCGCATGGCACTGCGGGAACAGGAGCGCCGGTCTCCGACCGGCATCGCTCCCCACCGGGGAGCGAAACCCGGGCGGGGCCGTTCCCGGGCAATAGCGCTGCATTCGTTCCGGCCGGGGTTTCCGGTCTCGCCCCGTCTCCGGACCATGCGACCGACGTGAACCTCATCACCGGCGGTGCCGGTTTCATCGGCTCGGCGCTGGCCGACCGTCTTGCGGGAGCCGGCGAGCGGGTTCGGATTCTCGATGATTTTTCGACGGGCCGGCGCGAACGCGTCTCCGGGAACCCCCTGATCGAGGTGTGCGAAGGGGACATCCGGAGTCCTGCCGCAGTCCGGGCCGCTCTCTGTGGGGTGGACAGGGTCGCTCACCTGGCGGCCCTCGCCTCGGTACCCCGCGCGGAGCTGGACCCGGAGACTGCGGCTCGGGTGAACGTCGAGGGAACCCTCGTAGTGCTCGGCGAGTCCCGGCGGGCGGGCGTCTCCGCTCTCGTGTATGCGTCGTCCTGCTCCGTGTACGGCGACGCCGGCGAGCGCCCGATTGCGGAATCCGTCCCCTTGAGGCCCCTTTCCGTGTACGCGGTGACCAAACTGGCCGGGGAGCGGCACGTCCTCCTGTATCACCGCACCGGGGGACCGCCGGCCATCGCCCTGCGTTTTTTCAATGTGTACGGGCCGGGCCAGCCCGCCGACTCTCCCTATTCCGGCGTTCTCGCCCGGTTTACGGCTCAGGCGACCCGCGGCGAGCGGCCCGAGATTCATGGCGATGGCGGGCAGACCCGGGATTTCGTGTTCGTGGGCGACGTGGTGGACGCGTTGATTCTCGCCCTCCGAAGAGCCTCGCAGGAGCCCGGGGGACAGGCATTCAAACGTGGGAACCGGGCGTGGTGTCTCGGTCGGGGAGATCTGGCGGCTGGTTGCGAAAGCCGCCGGAGTGATGTTGACGCCCACCTTCGCGGCGTCGCGCACCGGCGATATGCGCCATGCCTCGGCCGACACCAGCAGCGCTGTGGAACGCCTCGGTTTCAGAGCGCGGGTCCCGCTGGATGAGGGAATTTCGGAGTTGTTGAAGTCCTCCGCGGGGAACCTTGCGGACACCCCGAGCGTTCGGCGGGGTTAACAGCCTGTGGCAAAACCCACGCGGCCCAGTTCTCCCGGTGGGGGCTCGACGGGCGATCCATCCCGGCTGAACCGCGCCGCTTCGCGGCGCTCTGCGTTGCGTTTCGGTCGAAATACACCCGGTAATCCTCCCTCACGCGCCTTGTCAGCCGGGCGCCTCGCCCGTCTCGGCGCTCACGTGGGTTTCACCACAGGCTGTTAGCGCTCGCTGTGGCATACTCAAGAATTCTTGGCGTGACACCCCGCCCAACCCCCCATTTCGCCTCGGCGACCGCAGTGCTTGCCGGTCTGTTGGCGGGAGCTTTGCTGTTTGGTGTGGGTGTTCTGCGATCTTGGAACGGCCCCCTCCCGGAACCGCCGGGGATGCCGGAGCCGCCCAAAACCGTCGATTCCTCGAATCATCGGGATGTAGGGCTGTTCCTGGTTCCGGACCGGTTCATCCGCGGCGATTCGCTTTCCGATGTGTTGGTGCGAAACGGTTTTTCCCGGCGGGAGGTCCATGCCGTCTCGGAAGCGCTCGGACCGGTAGCCGATGTCCGACGCCTCAAGGTAGGGCAGACCCTGTGGCTCCATCGGGACAGCGCCGGAGTGCCGGTCCGGCTGGAGTTGCCGCTCGACGACTTCCGCGAAGTGGCCCTCGTTCGTTCGGTTGCGGGTTGGAATGCGCGTGAGCTCACCGCCGAACCGCTTAACCGGAGGGAAGTGGTCCAGGGAGTGGTGAACAGCAGCCTCTATCAGAGTCTGGTGGGCGCCGGCGAACGGGGTGACCTCGCGGTGCTGATTGCAAGGGCCCTCGAGTACGACATCGACTTCCACCGCGACACCCGGCAGGGAGACAGCTACTCGGTGGTTGTGGACAAGCTCTACGACGACCAGGGTGAGTGGAAGGACTACGGCGAACTGCACGCCGTCCGCTACGTCAATGCCGGGCGTTCCATCTTCGCGTTCCGGTTCGAGCTACCCACCGGCGAATCGGGCTATTACGACTTCGAGGGCAACTCCATCCAGCGCGTCTTCCTGATGAGCCCGGTGGCGTACACCCGCATCTCCGGCGTCTTCACCAGCCGGCGGTTCCACCCGGTGCACCGCGTGTATCGCCCGCACTACGGGGTTGACTATGTCGCTGCGCGAGGCACTCCGGTGATGGCGACGGCGGACGGGGTGGTCACGGACGCGGGGAGCCGCGGCCCGAACGGCAACATGGTGACCCTCCGTCACGCCAGCGGGTACATCACCAAATACCTCCACCTCTCTCGCATTCCGCCGGAAATCCGCCCCGGCCGCCGGGTAAACCAGCGCGACGTCATTGGGTTCGTGGGTTCCACGGGCGTTTCGACCGGCGCGCATCTGGACTACCGACTGTCACGCCGTGGAAGGCCGCTGAACCCACGCACCCACATCCTGCCTCCGGGGCCCCCAATCCCCTCGGAGCATCGGGGACTCTTTGAGGCGTGGCGGGAAGCGTTGGTGTCGGATTTCGAGCGGCCCGAGCGCTCGTCTCCCACCCGCGCGCCGACCCCCCGGATCGTGGTGGACGGGAGCGGCGGTTCCTGAATCGATCCGCGACACGGTCGCCTGCCGGGAGGAACATCCCGGTTCTTTCCGTCGCTGGTGGAATCTCAGGCGAAGTCGTCTCCATGTCTTGACGATCGACAAGCGTTGTTGACGCACCCCGTCAACACCAGTTGACCACCGAGCCCCCGAACGGGGCTTTGAGGAAGCAGGGCGGTTCGTGAGGTGGCGCCGGCGCGTCGTCAGGTAGTGCGTAACACCCTGAATTCACATCGGGTTACTTGCAGAACAGTCTCCATCCGGGACTTCTCGAACACTCGGATGGCCGGGTAGGCGGTGCTGGTCCGTTTGTTGCGGAAAGATGTATTCCCGGCGCTTCCAGGCAACGTGAACCGCCGGAATGTTGGCAGCCGATCCACATTCTATATGTGCACTTGAATGTGTATATATAGGGTCCATTCACAACGATGTATAAAGGGATATATATCTAGAACCATATCGGTTGTACTCACTAGAAGCAGTCAATGGCACACATGAGAATGTGCATTCAGCCGATCTAATCAACACACAAGGAGATATACATGATCCAATTCCGCGTTCCGTTTCTCGCCCTCCTGGCCCTCGTTTCCTCGGCGATGCTCGCGGTGTCGGCCATCCAGCCCGAGGAGCCCATCAACATCAACACCGCCACCGTCGAAGAACTGACCGAACTGCCGCGCATCGGCGAAATCACCGCCACCCGCATCGTCAAGTGGCGCGAAGAGAACGGACCGTTCGCCAGTACGGAGGACTCATGAACGTCCAGGGGATCGGCGAGCGCCTTTACGAACGGATGCAACCGCATGTGACGGTTGAAGATCCCGGTGAAGATGCCGGCCGACGCCGACGCTCGGGTGCAATACCCAAAGCCGCGTGATCGGAACCGCCGCGGCGCGGTTCCGGGGGAGCGGGCGGATCGAATCGCGGGCTTCACCCTCCTCGAGTTGTTGGTCGCGGTGGCGCTGCTCCTGGTGCTTGCCGGCACGGCGATTCCCCCGCTGGCAGGCCACCTGAGAGCCGAGCGCGTTCGTGGCGCGGCGATCGCCATCCGCTCGCTGCTTCAGAAAGCGCGGGCGGAGGCCGCGGCCCGCGCCGCGAACGTCGCCGTCGTTTTCGATCCGCCGCTCGCCGGACATGGCATCGAAATTCCCGGGTCCGACGCCACTCCGGTCGTTGCGCTGGTTCTGGATACCAATCACAACGGAGTTCGCCGGGCCGAAATCGCGTCCGGCGAAGAGCGTCTCCTCGACAATCCCTGGAGGTTCGGGGCGCGCTTTCCGGGAGTTGGGTGGGGAGCTCCCGCCGGCGCCGCGGGTCCGGCGCCGGTCCAGGGTCTGGACGTCGGGGTTGCGGGGATGATTTCGTTCTCACCTCTCGGCGGTTCCGGTTCCGGGCGGATCACGGTGAGTGGAGAGGGCGCCGTCTACGCGATCGTGGTTCATGGAAGCAGTGCCCGGATCCGCGTTGAGCGACATGCCGGCGGCCGCTGGATACCGATGTGAGCGTGCCAACGCTCCCGGTGGCCGGCGCCAAGTCTGGCTATCACCAAGCGGTCGCGAAACTCTGGCGGCATCCATTCGCGGCGCGCAGCGCCGCGGGGGAGGGGCGTGGGGAGGCGTTTCCCCTCCCCACCGAAGACGATGGCGCGGATCGCGGAGCGATTCGCGCCGTCACCCCGTGGGGGAAGCGCCCCGCACGCGCACAAATCGCCAGATTCGGCGCGCATGCCGTCGTGGGGATAGTGCGGGGTGCTTCTTCCACGGGCTGTTAGCATGAGTTGAAGGCGCCTTAACATGCCTGGCGCATCATCCTCGGGTGGCGCACGATGTTCAGCGGCCAGTTCCCCGTGGGGGCTGGCGCCCGAGGAACGGGCGAGGCTGCGGCGGAAGACCGAGTGTCTTTGACCGTAACGCCGCGGCGCGCAAACCCGGTGCGCGCAGAGCGGCGAGGCGCCCGGCTCGACAGGCCTGGGTGAAATACCAGCTGATTTCCCAACGCAACGCAGGCGCCGCAAGCGCGCGGTTCAGGCGGGAGCATCGCCGCTCGAAGAGCCCGGTTTCCTCGGCTGTTAACTCCGCGACCGGGTCGCCCGTCTGGAGGTCAAGGTGAACGTGCTGCTGACGACCAGTCTGGCGATTCTGCTGTTGCTGCTGCGCGATCTCTTCGTCGCCTAGCCGGAAGCCAACGCCGGAAGCCAACCCGGCGTTCGGGGAGCGACCGATCTGCCGCTTCCGCTGGCCCTTCCCGACGGGTCAGCGATCCACGCGGGTGAGGATTCCGTCTTCGAGTGCTAGAAAGGGCCAGTCGGCGAGGCTCCGGAAGTCCTCGTCACCGACGCACACCAGCGCTGGCGAGCGGCCGTACATCTCCTGTCCCACCACGCAGGCGAGGGCGAGGAAGGCGTCCACTCCGCGGGTGATCATTGCTGCCGGGGCCGTTTCCCGCCGGATCGCCTCCAGGAGAACTGCCGTGGTCGTGGACGATCCGCGCGTTGCCGGCAGGACGAGCGCCTTGCCCGCCGCCGTCTTCCCGGCCAGCGGGTGGTGCGTATCGATGATCCGTCCCGATGCGGCGTCGTACCCGCCCCAAAAACTCAGCGGCTGGGTCGCGTGGAGGACGCTTCCCGAAGCGCTTCCCGCGACGACGATCCGTCCCAGCAGGCGGGCATCGCCCGCCGAGCCCCCACCGGGAGAACTGGGCCGCGTGGGTTTTGCCACCGGCTGCTAGTCCCAGGGCCCCGGCTGGCGGACGACCCGCCCCTCGCGGGCCGACTCGATGCATTCGGCGAGGCTGCCGAAGGCAACCGCCGACCCCAGCAGGCCAGGGGAGTACCACGCGTACTTGGCGGAGTTCGTCATGAGGCGGCGCGTGGTCCCGGGGACCATGGGGGTGGCCAGGACGCAGGTATCCACCATGAGGCGGCCCCCGAAGGCGCGAAGCGGTTCGAGCAGCCCCGCGCGTTCGGCCAGGTCGCGGACGGCGCGGCTCGTGGTCACCACCAGTTCGCATCCTCCTTCTTCCCGGGCTTCTTCCGGGCTTCTTTCCCCGGGAAGCACGCCGGGCGCCGCGATCGCGGAGCAGGGCCGCGAGCTTCCCGAACTCGGCGAAGGAGAAGTGCGGACTCCCGAGCACCACCATGTCCAGGGCGCCCTCGCCATGGGTGGTCAGTTCCCGGCGTGCGGCGCGCAGTTCTTCGAGCCCGACGTCACGGGTGGCGACCGGCTTCCGGCCGCCGAGCGCGTCCCGCAGGGTGGGAGCTTCCGGGGTGACTCCGGGAATGTGAAAGAGGGCGACGGCGCCGGAAGAGGCGGCAGCCGCCCCGAGCGCCTTGAGCTGGTCCTCCTCGGGAATGACCGGCAATCCGGCGATTGCCACCGGATCGTCCTCGGCGAAGGGGCCCAGCAGATGGCCGAGAACCGGGTAGAAGTCGTCGGCGGCCGCGAGTTCCTCGGGAATGTCCCGGAGTCGCAGAACGCGGGTGGCCAGCCGGTTCTCGTCGAGATGCAGCCCGACGGCCGGCGCCCGCCCGGTAATGGCGCAGCAGATGTCGAGCAGGTCGGGGTAGCGCTCGGTGCGCGCTCCGATCACCGAGTTCGCAAAGCAGACGGCATTCGACTCGCCCCAGGCGATCTGCTGTCCGAACCGGGGAGTCTGCCGGCCCTGGTAGGGGGCGCAGGTCCAGGTAGGGATCGTCCCCATGGATGCATAGGCCCGCATCTGACGGGCTGACTTTTCGGCCCATTCCGGAGGAACCGACCAGTCGCGCCAGTTGAATTCGTCGAGCCCGCTCACGTTCAGCGTGGAAGGAACCCGCACCCGCGCCCCGAGCCCGGCGAGGCGTTCGGCGAACTCGAGGCCGGCGTCGCCTACGTAGATCGTGCTGTCGATGTGCGCGGCCTCGATGTCCAGCATCGAACCCGCGTCGCGGATCTCGGCCATCCGCGCCAGGATGCGCATGGCGAGCTGCGGCGCCTCCCCTTCTTCGCCCGCGAGCAGCGCGCGGTCGAACGCGCTGAGGCGAAGGGCGCTCCCCTCTTCGCTCATCGCGCGGGACTGGTTGGGGTCAGGTTTGGTCGCGGGTCGCGGCGCTCGTGCGCTTCCAGACGAAACGGTTGATTCCGAGGCAGAAAAGGATCAGCAGACCCACCTGGAAGACCACCGTTCCGACGGTGAACTCGCCGAAGGGATTCCACCACTCACCCCCCGAGGAGGTGGCCGACTGCCACATCCACCACGTGATCAGGGCAACGAACTCGACGGGGATGAGCCAGGTGATGATCCGTTCGAACCAGCGGCCGACGCGCCACTCTTCCTCCGCACCCATGAGGTGCTCCTCACGGAACCGGCGCGCTCCGCGGCGAATCACGGTGATGGCGACGAAGAGTCCGGACAACAGCAACGCCACTCCCCACGCCCAGTCCTGGTTGCGGAAGAAACCGAGGGAGTAGGCGGAGGGCAGCCCCATCACGAAAGCGACCGTAGCCACCATGGGAACGGATCGGCGGCGGGGGACGCCCATATCCATCACCATCCGGTTCACCAGTTCGAGCTGGGTGATGAGGGAGGAGATGGCGGCGCAGCAGAGCGTGAGGAAGAACAGCGGCAGGAGGATGTTCCCGCCGGGCATGTCGAGGAAGAGCTGGGGAAGCCAGAGGAAGGTCAGTCCCTCGTTGCTCGCCCCGAGCGCCGCCTGGGTGTCGGAAGTCGAAGTGCTGAGTGCGAAGACGGTGCAGATCACCGCGATCCCGGCGAGCAGCGAAGCGAAGTTGTTCGCGATCGCGGCAGTGATTCCGGTCTTGACGAAACCCTGACCGTCGGCCACGTAGGCCCCGAGGACGGTGACGAGCCCCCAGCCGGCCCCGGTGCTCCACGCGGCCTGGGTAAGCGCCGCCAGCCAGATCCGGTAGTCGGCAAGTGCGCCCAGATCGGGAACGAAGAGGAAACGCAGGCCCTCGGCGGCTCCCGGAAGCGTGATCGCCCTGACTGCCGCCAGCAGGAGCAGCGCGAAGAGCGTCGGGATCAGGTAACGGTTGGCCCGCTCGATTCCGGCAGCGACGCCCCGGAAGATGATGAACGAGCCGATCACCAGCGCCAGCCCGTGGAACACCACCGGCTGGCTCGGGTGGCTTGTGAAGGTCTCCCAGAAGGTCTGGGGGTCGGCGCCCTGCAGGTCGCCGAGCGAGGAGCTGACGAAGTACTTGAGGCACCACCCGGTGACGACCGAGTAGTAGAAGGTGATGAAGGTGGTGACGAGGCCGATGAAGAGCCCCATCCAGTTGTGCCGCGCGCCGGTGGCGGCGCCGATGGCGGCGGCGGGTCCGCGGCGGGAACTCTTGCCCAGCGCAAACTCGGCGAGCAGCAGCGGGATCGCCCAGAGGAAAAGGAAAATCACCCACGGGATCAGGAACTCCCCGCCGCCGTTTTGTGCCGCGATCCGGGGGAACCGCCAGATGTTCCCGGTTCCGACCGCCATCCCGATCGTCGCGAGGAGGATGCCCCAGCGGGAGGTGAACCGTTCGGTGGTGTGCTGCATCGTTGCTGCCTTTCGCCAGCTCGGGTTTCCCAGCCCGGGTCCTATCCGGCGTCCTGAAGACGCATCGTCTGCCCGAGTCCGCGTTTGACGGATTCCTCGTACACGAAGGCGGCGCAGGCCACGTCTTCGATGGCCACTCCGACGGATTTGAAGAGGGTGATGTCGTCAGGCGAGCTGCGGCCAGCCACCCGGCCCACGACAACGTCGCCAAGCTCGGCGTGGAGCTGATCCTCGCGGAAGGCTCCGTCCCGGATCGCCGCCATCAGATCCCCGGCCTCGCCCAGGACCTGCTCCCGGAAGTCGAGCACCACCCGGCAGCGGGAAAACGCCGCCGCTTCGACCTCCCGTTTCACCGGAGCGTTCGCTCCCACCGAGTTCACGTGCATGCCGGGCTCGAGCCAGTCCGCCAGGATGACCGGCTCTTTGGTGGTGGTTGCGGCGCATACGACATCGAGGCCGCGAACCGCCGCTTCGGCGCTTCCCACGGGTTGGGCGTCGAGTCCCTCCCCGGACAGCGCGGCGGCATAGCTGGCCGCGGCTTCGGGAAACAGGTCATACACCCGGACCGTCGTGATGTCCCGGACCTCCCGGACCGCGGCCACCTGGTTGCGGCCCTGGAAGCCGGCCCCGATCAGACCAAGCGAAGCGGCGTCCTCGCGAGCCAGGTAGCGAGTCGCCACCCCGCTCGCCGCTCCGGTCCGGGTTCCGGTGATGTGGGTCCCCGGCATCACGGCCCGGAGCGCTCCCGTTTCGGTGTCGAAATAGAGGATCGCGAAATAGGTGTCCTCGGGAGCCCGTTTTCCGGGGGTGCCGGTCAGCGTCTTGAGGCCGAAGCCGCCCATGTCCGGGATCACCGCCGCCATGATCCGGAAGTTCCCGGCGACCCCGGTGAGCGGCATGACGAGCCGCGGTGCGACCTGCGTTTTCCCCTCCGCGTGGAGCCGGAACGACGCTTCGAGAAGCCTCACGGCCTCCTTCATCGAGAGGATTTCCGCGACCTCCCGCTCCGTGAGAATGAGTGCCACGGAGCGAGTGTACCGGGCTAACCGCGCGAAAAGACCGCCCGCAGGACGTGGCGGGCGATTTCCGGGTTCTTGCGCAGGCGGCGGAGCGAATAGGGCATCCACTCGGGACCGAACGGCACTGCGACCCGAATCCGGTGTCCCGCCGCCTTCACGATCTTGCGAAGCCGGGGGCGCACTCCGTGGAGCATCTGGAACTCGTAGCGCTCGGGCGGGAGGCCGAGTTCGTCGACGATGCGGGAGGCCTGGGAGACGAGCCACTCGTCGTGGGTGGCGATCCCCACGTAGCACCCGGCGGGGAGCAGGATCCGGAGCAGGGCCACGTATTGGTCCCGGATGATCTGCGGCTCGGTATGGGCGATCTCCTGGGGTTCCAGATAGACGCCCTTGCACACCCGCACGTTGGTCTGCAGCCGGGCGAGTTCCCGGGCGTCGGCCAGGCTGCGCCGCATGCGCGCCTGGAGGACCACCCCGAAGTTCGGGTACTCGGGACCGAGTTCCCGGTAGAGGCCGAGCGTGGCGTCGATCTGCGGGCTGTCCTCCATATCCATCCGCACAAAGGTTTCCCCGCGCCGGGCCGCGTGGTCGAGCAGGGAACGGACCTGGTCGCGGCAGAAGTCGCGGTCGATCATGAGCCCGAGCTGCGTCAACTTCACGTGGACGTAGGCCGAGAGCTGCCGCGCGTGGAGTTCGTCGAGGACGTGCCGGTATGCCGCGGTTGCCTCCTCCGCTTCGGCGCGATCGGTGACGAACTCCCCAAGCTGACTGACCGCCACCAGATACCCCTGGCGGTTGAGCGCTTCGGTTTCGCGAACGAGCTCTTCGACCGTCTCGCCCGCGATGTAAGGCCGGGCGAATGGCCGCACCAACGCTTTCGGCAGGAGCGGGAGGGTCCCGGCGATGGCCCGATCCAGCAGGCTCATGGGGGCTCCTCCGCCTGGGTTTACAGATCGAAGTGGGCGAGGATGCGGTCGAGCGCCTCCTCCGTAGCCCGGTCGAGCAGGGCGGCAGGCGCGCGGATGCCCGTATGGGCGATCGCTCCCCTCCTGCGCAGCATTTCCTTGCGGATGGCCATTCCGATGCCTTCCTGGAACTCGAACCGCATCACCGGGGCGTACTGGTAAAACGCCGCGGCCGCCCCGTCCCGGTCACCGGCGTCCCAACGGGAAACGACCGCTACCAGCAGTCCGGGATACGCGAAACCGGTCATGGCGCCGGTCGCGCCCGAGATGAGTTCCTCGATCAGGTAGGCGCCGCCGAGGCCGCCGAAGATGCCGATATCCAACCCCTCCGTACGCTCCCGGATGCGGGCGGCCTTGTAGGGGGTGGGGGCGTCCTCCAGCTTGATCGTCCGCGCCGCGGGGATCTCGCGGCAGAGGTGGGCGAGGAGATCCGGCTCCATGTGGAAGCCCGAGATCGGTGGGAAGTCCTGGATCACGATCGGGATCGAGATCGTTTCGGCGATCCGGGCGAAGTGCCGGAAGATCGCCTCGGAGTTGCATTTCGGAGCGCGAGGCGGGGACACCATGACTCCGGCCGCTCCGGCGCGTTCCGCGGCGCGGCAACGCTCCAGGCAGACGTCGAGACCGGGGCCGGAGGCGCCCACGATCACCGGTACCCGACCGTCCGCGTGGGCCATGCTGGCCTCCAGAATCTCATCGCGCTCCCGATCGGAAATCCGCGCAACTTCGCTTGTTACCCCGAGAGCGGTGAAGCCGGAGACCCCGTCCTCGAGGAACAGGTCGATCACCCGGCGGAGGCTTTCGGAGTCGAAGCTCCCGTCCGGAGCAAAGGGGGTCGGAAGAACCGAATAGACGCCGTTCATGCCGCGATTCTTGCACAGCGAGGGCACCCCTCTGGTACAAACCCGCCCATGAAATTGCGCCTCCTCTCCGCTGCCGAAGTCCGGTCCGCCATGCCCATGGCCGAAGCGATCCGGGCGGTCCGCCAGGCCTTCGTGGAACTCTCCGCCGGCCGGGCCACCATGCCGGTCCGGGTTCGGGTGGACGTCCCGCGCCGCTCCGGGATCAGCCTCTACATGCCCGGCTACCTCGCGGGGAGCCACCAGCTCGCCACCAAGATCGTTTCCATCTTTCCTCAGAACCTGACGCGCACGCCGCCGCTTCCCACCATCAACGCGCTGGTGGTGGTGCTTGACCCCGACACCGGTTTGCCTGCCGGCGCCCTGCACGGCGGCGTTTTGACCGCGATCCGAACCGGTGCCGCCTCGGGGGTGGCGACCGAGGAGCTCGCGCGGGCCAACGTCCGGACGGCGGGCGTCCTCGGGGCCGGCGTTCAGGCCCGCACCCAGCTCGAAGCGATGGTCACCGCCCGGCCGGGAATCGAGAGCGCCACGGTGTATGACCCCCGCCTGGAGGTGGCGCACGCCTTCGCGGCGGACATGACGGAGAGGTTGGGAATCCCGGTGACCGTGGCCCCGTCCGCGGACCATGCGGTCGCCGCCTCCGAGGTGATCGCCGAGGCCACTA